AACGTAACGTTACACAAATAAAAATACATTTTACCATACGACTATAAATGACAGAGTATTAAGTTATTTCCCCTCGATGGGGAAAAATCCAAGTGAACATCAATCAGTACTCAATATTAATTTAAACTGCTTTAAATATGACTGCTGTTTATATCCTGTGCACTTCAATACCGGTCTGCGCTTGACTGTAGTCGCGTCTGTCTGAACTGAAACTGAAATTGGAAGTTATTATATCTTATGAAAATCTTGCATTGCAGTGTGAGTGCGCAGCAGCTCACGCCGCGCACAAGTGCATATCCTTTTGAGAAAATTTAAGCTGAATTCTTGTTTTTCGTTTTTTGGAAAAAAACTAAAATACGAAAAAGGAGCCGTTTTCTAATTTTTCTACTTTCAATATGAAATCAAAAAACGAATGATTGAATGATACACGGATTCAGGGAGTATGCAAAATACAGCAAAATAAACAAAATTGAACAAAACAAAACAGTAGAACAAAATGAAAAAAACGGATCAGACCAAAACAGAACAGTATATAAAAAAAGACAGAACAGAACAGAAACAAAATGAACAAAACAAAAGCAGAACAGAATATTAAAGAATATAACAAAAAACAGAACAGAAAGAACACAGTTGTATGTAGCAAAAAAAAAAAGAACAAGAACTGAATGGATTAAAATAGAACAATATGGGAAAGGAAGAAAACTGAATAATATATAATATTATAGAACAGAATGGAAAATATTTCATTTTACCATTAGATGACCGGGGCCAAATTAGCATCTTAAAATCTCTAAATTGCAAAGAAGAAAACTGGTATCCAAAAAGCAACTTGCAGAAGTTGTTTTTTGTAAGGAAAGAAACAAGTAATTGAGGTAAATATGTTCCTGTAGTTGTTTACAGCAGACTGAAAGCAGTGGATCAATATAGAAGTCCTATAAATATTGATACAGCTTAATGATTGACTGGTCATGCCAAATATTACACAACACACACCTGAGAGAGAGAAGCTGATGAGTCTTCTGCTGCCTTGACTCTGTGGTACGTCATCTGTGGCCACCGGCTTAAACACCTGATAGCAGAAAGTTCAGTGTAAAATGTGTTCGATTTCATTGGTACCATTACACACGTTCACATAATATCAGTAGCAATATCTGATCAAAAACTACAACAGAACAGTTCTTCCCTTACATTTGTTTTGTTGCAAACAGTGTTGTATGCATCACAACATCATACATGAGGCAATCTCTCAGTTCCCACCAAAAAATAACATTGTAATTTTGAATTGCTGACACTGGGGAAGACAGATGAGATTTACAGATCTCAGGGACGATTAAGTGGAGTGTTTTGAAATTGAATGATCAAAAAATATAAAATGTTTAATGAAAATTAATGATGAACATATATGTTGTATGAATTCATACAACTGTACCCTATTTATACAATCATTCAAGTGTTAAAAAAACTAATTAGGCCTGTAGTGGAGGACAGAGGAGCCTCTTAAAGAAGAAGTTACAGGTCTGTGAGAGCCAGAAATCTTGCTTGTTTGTAGGTGACCAAATACTTATTTTACCGCATAATTTGCAAATAAATTCCTTAAAAATCCTACAATGTGATTTTCTGGATTTTTTTTCTCATTTTGTCTCTCATAGTTGAGGTATACCTATGATGAAAATTACAGGCCTCTCTCATCTTTTTAAGTGGGAGAACTTGCACAATTGGTGGCTGACTAAATACTTTTTTTCCCCACTGTATATGTTGTATGAATTCATACAACTGTATCCTATTTATACAATCATTCAAGTGTGGTGAAAACTAATTTGCTGTAGGGTTTGTAAAAATGTGTTGACCCAAAAAGGAAAATTATGTCTCATTTACACACCCTCATGTTGTTCCAAACCTGTAAGACTAGGTAACCACAACTTTGAAGATGCAAAAATGTCATAAAGGCATTGTAAAATGAATCTATATGAATCAAGTGGTTTAGTCTTATGAAGTCTTATGAAGAGATACGATTACCTTAAATGATGAACAGATTTAATTTAGGCTTTTATTACATCTAAACAATGAAGTTTGTTCTAGTGTGTGATGCTTTTGTGTGATGCACTATATATATATATATATATATATATATATGTGTGTGTGTGTGTGTGTGTGTGTGTGTGTGTGTGTTTATTTGTGAACAAAAGTGTCAATTAAATCTGCTCATTATATAAAGTGATTATATCTCTTCACAAGATTTGGTTTAAGCCACTCAATTGATATGGATTCAACACTTTTATGACCATTTTGGTCAACTAAGTTTTTGTTACCTGAACTTTCAATGTGGCAGAAACCTCTCAGGTGTTATTAAAAATATCTTTGATATTTTATTCATTTGATGTTATAAATTTGTGTTTGAAGTCTTACGGGTTTGAAATGACATGAGGATGAGTAAATGATGACAGAATTTTCATTTTTAGGTAAACTGTCACTTTAAGGTCACCTTCAAGGCCTGTGTCTTGTAATTGGCGCACTTTACCTTTAAGAAACAAAAAGAGAGTTTGGCTGACTCTATGGCTATGGAGGTAGGCCTGTATTAAGCCATGAAATGATAACCTGAGATTATCTGCAGGATTAATCCTCTGAGAAACAGATGGCACAGACTATTCTGCTCTTGAGGGACTCAAGAGGCAAAACAGCAGCATTCTCTACACATCTGCAACATGAAGCAGCAGTAATGTACACATTCTACATGACTGATCCGTACACACGTGTGTTCCTCACCACTGCTCATCTAAAGGCATGATGTCTGGACATTTAAATCATGATGCAAAATAAAACTTTTCTTTCTTTCGCTCACCGGTGCGGAGGGGTTTTTCACGGTCACACATGGCGTTGTGGCCCGCAGGGCTCCACTCACTCCATGATAATATTTAAAACAGATCTTAGTCTCCGCTGAAAAAGAGCCAAGCACAGAAAAAGGTCACAGTAAGATTTTTTGCAGATTTTAAATATTCACATTTTTCTTTCAGATATGCATAAATCATCTATTCACGTGGGACTAATAAAATACTGACTACAAGGTAAACATTTCCACCCTATAAATTACAAATGCTGTCCCCAATTAGAAATAGCAAACAGCCAAACAAACATAGTCTGTGTTTCTCTTGTACTTTATTTCAGGCCCCCAACCATCAGTTGGTTGAGAAGGAAGTGTCTGGAAAAAATGGTTGGTACTGGTTTTGTTCATGGTAAAAATAGTTGAATGTGGTTATTGTATATTTTTTGAAGGGGCCCCTGACTACATTCCACCCCAACTTCCTCTTTAACAGGAATAGGAAACATTAACACAGGGACGAAAATGTTGTGATAGAAGAAATCGTGCTAGCTATTTGAGAAATAATGGCCTGAATTTATATTTTAATATGTATAATATTAAAAATCATGTGTAATATTAATTTTAATATATTAAAATTTTTAATTTATAGGACATACAAAAAATATTTCTCACATATGACATCTGGGTAATTAGAATGAAGTAGATCAATCTAAACAAAAATACTAATCAATCTATCTGACCTGGTTAGAAACACCATGAACATCCTTGAATAAATAATATTTCTGGGGGGGCCATATGATTTCCATAATGTTGAAAATGCAGATGGAATCCAGTTATAAATGTACTCTATAATGCGGAATGTCATTGAAGTTTTGGATTAATTCATAAAAGTAGAGCTGTACAATTAATAAAATTCAAATTGCAATATGGACTGGTGTCTTTGATTATTAAATTGCAAAAAGACTGCTATTTAAATAAGGTCTTCACTACAAACTTAAAATTGAATCCAGAAATATTAAAACGGAAATCAAATGGATTTCACAGAGCCCTGCTTTATCTCTGATTTATTAAAAAAATTAGATCTTAATTAACACTGTAGCTAGCAGCACATAACAGAAATCTAGGAAGAAAAAATAGGCTATTTAACATGCACTGTGATACTACAGAACATAGTAAAAGAAAGAGATTTAGCCATGGTGCTCTAGTAGGCGATGTGAGTTTGAGTCTGTATGTAGGCACCATAATATAAAAGAGCCCACGGCCCTTGGAATGGCGTTTTCTCTCTAGTATCCGTAACAGTAAAAGTGCCAACAATAAATGAGAAAAAAGCAGCAGCTCATGAGCCATATGGCCTTGCAGTGTAATACATCAGAGTGCTTCCTGGACTGTCAAGCAAAGACAGCCAAACCTGATATAACCTTCAAACAGCTTTATATTAATACAAGCACACAGGCTTCTTTTCATGAGAAATGAGAAATGAGAAGTGTTTTTGCATGCTAGTAGAATGTCACACCTGAGTGAATTTCCCTTCACACTTCTTATCTGAAAAACCATCAAACAAATTGCTAGCATGGAAGTGGTTTCCTTTTGTGTGTTTGTTACCATAGCAGTCATAAAATGCAGCCACAAGCAAACCTTAAGCAGCTCTAATGGCATCCTGTGTGTGGGAAAAGAGCATCTATAATGCTGTATCTTTTCATAAGCATGTTTTGCAAAAAAATGCACATACGTTCTACAAAGTAGGAGCTGGCCTCGATCTTCCAGACGATCTGGCCTTTGTGGGAGCCATTCACACCTCTGTTTTTGTAGTCCAGAAAGTTCTCTGACAGAACCTCATCTAAGAGAATGAGAAGAGAAAAGCCTCTTATCTTATTCTTTATGGCATACAGAGAATCACATCTTTGAACAGCCTTTAAAAGCCATCTGAGAACCTTCAGAACACCAGACACACGTGATCCATCTATATTGCTTCTATTGTAATCCACAGAGCTGTGCGTTTTCTCTCTAGTATCCGTAACAGTAAAAGTGCCAACAATAAATGAGAAAAAAGCAGCAGCTCATGAGCCATATGGCCTTGCAGTGTAATACATCAGAGTGCTTCCTGGACTGTCAAGCAAAGACAGCCAAACCTGATATAACCTTCAAACAGCTTTATATTAATACAAGCACACAGGCTTCTTTTCATGAGAAATGAGAAATGAGAAGTGTTTTTGCATGCTAGTAGAATGTCACACCTGAGTGAATTTCCCTTCACACTTCTTATCTGAAACACCATCAAACAAATTGCTAGCATGGAAGTGGTTTCCTTTTGTGTGTTTGTTACCATAGCAGTCATAAAATGCAGCCACAAGCAAACCTTAAGCAGCTCTAATGGCATCCTGTGTGTGGGAAAAGAGCATCTATAATGCTGTATCTTTTCATAAGCATGTTTTGCAAAAAATGCACATACGTTCTACAAAGTAGGAGCTGGCCTCGATCTTCCAGACGATCTGGCCTTTGTGGGAGCCATTCACACCTCTGTTTTTGTAGTCCAGAAAGTTCTCTGACAGAACCTCATCTAAGAGAATGAGAAGAGAAAAGCCTCTTATCTTATTCTTTATGGCATACAGAGAATCACATCTTTGAACAGCCTTTAAAAGCCATCTGAGAACCTTCAGAACACCAGACACACGTGATCCATCTATATTGCTTCTATTGTAATCCACAGAGCTGTCTACAGTGGAAGTGTGTGGCCTTCAGTTGATGGACAACCTGTTACTATTTTTGCGGTGTTGAAGAGCTACTCTAGCCAGATTATTTTCTCCCTGTCAATCTGAAATACAATGATATTATATATCATGCAAATATCATGACTTTTATGTTTAATAAAAAAATACATGATTTTTTTTACAATGAATTTTATTCGTTATAAATAATTCACACTGCCAGTCAAAATTATGATTTTTAAAATGTTTTTGAAAAAAGTCAAAATGCTCATCTTATGCCTTTATTTGCTCAAAAGACATTGTGAAGATATTGTGAAATATTATTACAATTTAAAATCGCCATTTTCTATTGTAATATATTGTAAAATGTAATTTATTCCTGTGATGCAAAGCTTAATTTTCAGCATCATTACGCCAGTCTTCAGTGCACATGCTCCTTCAAACATCAGAAACATCAAATTCAGTCTGAATGGAAGTTTATTATTAGGTAATTGCAAGATGAAAGTTAAACTTAAGAAAATACAGTATCCCTGTGAGATATAAAGTTGCAATTGCAAGAAATAAAGATGCAATTATGTGGAAATAAAGTCACACTGTGTGTAATAATGTAGCAATTCTAAGACACAAAGTAGCAAATTCTGAGAAACAGAGTTGCGATTATGAGAAATAATGTGGCAATTCTAAGATATGAAGTTGCAATGACCTTTTAACTTTACTGAGGTGGAAACGGGCGTGAAAATCTTGTGATGTTTCTGGCCTTTTAAATTCTATAATTTTTGTTTCTAATCATATGTACAGTAGAAAATCATCTATGTAATTGTGCTCTAAAAGCCCAGAAACCAAATACACTATTCTGAAGCATCTATGATGCAAAATAACTTATAATCAACATAAACCACTGTTAAAAAAAAGAGGGGTCAGTAAGAATTTTTTACAAAAATGTTATAATTTTAATCATCAATCAATTTATCAAAAGTGACAGTAAAGGCATTTATAATGTTACAAAAGATTTGTACTTTTTGTACTTTGATTCATCAAAGAGTCCTGAAAAAAGTACCAGTTTCCAAAACAATAATAACCAGCACAACTGTTTTCAACATTGATAATAATTAAATCTGCATATTAGAATGATTTCTAAAAGATCATGTGACACTGAAGACTGGAGTAATGATGCTGAAAATTCAGCCTTACATCACATGAATAAATTACATTTTACAATACAATCAAGTAGAAATAGTTTCACAATATTTCTGTTTTTACTGTATTTTTGATCAAATAAATGCAGTCTTGGTAAGAGACTTCTTTCAAAAACATTTTTAAAACGTACCGACCCCAAACTCATGAACCATAAAACAACCAAACAGAACCACGCTCACCAATGAGGTACATGCCAATCCAGTCGCCCGCATCCACTTCCTCCTTGATGTCCCAGCTGAGGGTGATGTCCTGCATCTGGCCGATGGTGTAGCTGGAGGTGCTGACGGTGAGGGTGGAGCGGCAGTGGGAGGTCACGAGGTCGGTGTCACTGGTGGAGCGCAGCACGGCCACCGCCAGCTCCTCAGATACGCCGTTCTGGAAGTCCACATTGGGGAACTGCTCAGGGTTGAAGCTGTGCCGAATCGGGTCCTTACATCGCCGCCTGCCCTGAGATGCACGAGATGGAGAGGCCATAGCTGCAAGCCCGAGAAACCTGTTCTGATACAAGTTCTGAGAAAAAAAAAGAAAAAAAAAAAAAGAGTAAAACATGATGAATCCCTCTATTAGTATAAGCAAATGCTTTTTAGATCATATGGTGTGCAAATTCAACCATGCAAGACATCAAAAGAACAATCATGACCTGGGGGGTTCGGATGCTGCGGTAAATGCAGACTTTTCATGGTCAGATCAGAAAAAGACAAAACTGCTGGGAGCGAGGCAGGTCAGGACATGTTTGAGGAGAGAAAACGATGCCTGAGAAGCTACATTTCACCTACAGGAGACTGAGGGGTTGTTTTATAGTGCAAGAAGTGTCATCTACTTCAACTGTGTGTATTGAACGTCTAGTTTTCTATTTTAAGATGTTAGAAAATGGATTCATGCTGAATAAGCAAGGCACGCATGTGCTTAACCAGAATGATTTGAACACAAGACAATGGCAATGTGCAGAATGAATTTAGGTTGCATGAGTGTCATTATCATTAATCAAACAAAAAAAAAATGAAATGAATCTAAATGAAATGAAAACATTTTTGTTAACTGAACTAAAAATAAAATAAAACTATATAATCGGAAGCTAAACTGAAACTAATCATTTTATGACTCCAGAACTTACTAAATAAGAAAATAAAAATAGCGAAACATTTATTTTAATATACAGAATATAATGTAAATGGTTCCATTTCATAACCCATAACATGAAAATGGCACTGGACACCACTAATAACAAAACTAGATGGCCCTCAGATATTAACTGTCACTATTTAAATTATATTATTTGACATGACTGAAAATGTCTGAAATAGGATATCCTACAGATCAAATGTTTGGGGGTCAGTAAGATTTTTTTTATTTTTTCTCTTATTCTCACTACGACTGAATTTATTTGATAAATAAAATACAGTAATATTGTGAAATATTATTACACAGGGTTTCCACTCTTTCATGAACACAAAATTCAAGTGCTTTCAAGGACTTTTTAAAGCACCATTTAGTTTATATCAAGCACCTATCAAATTCACACCCCAGCATATGTAGCATCATGAAAGACCTCTTACAGTACTTAACATTACACTTAACATTTAAATTAAAAATTTCATTAAAGGTTTTGAATGTGTAGGTTTCATAAATTTAGACTATTTTGAGCAGTCGTGTTTCAAAGTATTTTAATTAAAGTCATTGAAGACAATGGAGTTCACACTGGTAATATTCAAATACAATTTCTCAAATATTTATAAAAAATATATATTCTTGCATCAAACTGGTTCCCCTTCAGGAACTCGAGCTGCGTCGAGTCGCTTTGGGAACGCCCTTGCGTGACCGCGTTCCGCTAGTTTTTGTGCCATGCTGCGGACACAAGCTTCAGACGAAGAAGTGATGATGTGCGCTACCGGCGCCTATTTTGTACTAGTTGCGACGGTAGTGACGTCATGGCTGTCGCCGGCCAAACAAGTTGGTGTTTTTTCAATGTAGGCTTCAGACACGGGTCACGACGAGGCGTTCCCCATAGCGACCCCTAGAGGACGCAGTGTCTCGTTCCCCTCAGGGAACCATGGTTACATAAGTAACCCGAGACGTTTTTACACCTTTGTAATGGCATTTTTCTAACTTTATTAAAAGTATGTCATCTTTTATGTCAAATTCAAAAAATTATATTTATAAGCTTTTTCAAATTTCTAAATAAAACAACAGAATAAAATAAAGTAGAATAAGAATAAGTTACCAATAAAATTAAATCTGTATTAAAAAATAATAATTTGTACTTCAGAGGTGGCACAGAAGAACACAAAAGTGGCTTGTAGGTGTATTCTCAGATATTTAATGAGGCTCAGAGGTGGCATGAGTGCAATTAAATTCGTAAATTCATGTGGAGATTAATGCTTTAAATAAAAAAATTTTAATACAGAAATATTAAACGAAATAAATAACAGAAAAGATCCTTTAAAAATGAAAGTAAAACTGCCTGTAGGTGGTGGCAAATCATTGAGTTTATCACTGAATCATTCATTCAATTGATTCGTGCGAATGACTAATTCATTCAGGAATGAAGCAAGTGACTGGCTTTATGAATGGGTAATTGATTCAGATTCGTTTAAAAACGCACGTTCATTCACGTTCACTGGAGATGCGCAGCGGCTCAGCTTTGACTTTGTTTGAAATTATTTTCGTTGATGAAATAGAGCAAAATCAGGCAATAGTGTTGTAGTCAGACAATGCAAGTCACTTAATATTAATTTCTTGTTTAATGAACTGTTGTATTAAATCAATATCTCATTTGCAAACTCCCTTAATAATCATTAAAAGCTGTCACTCACTCATCGCGATCTCACAAAATTCCATTATAATCAACGAAGCTCCATACACTGCACAATGAATCTATTATTTACACCCTGTCAACACTTTGTTTGCTATAGTGAGAGGATTCGTGAGATCTCTAGCTTCCGCTATTATTTATAATAACCATTTTCTGATTAAAATATCTTATTTGTGATTTAAAATAATGCCAGCTTCCATGGAAACTGGAAAATCCGCCCTCTGCCATCACAGGCCAGGCCATCACAGGCCTCAGGTCGAGTCCCTGTGTTCCACCATGCAGCCCCACCGTGGGTACGTTGGTGGCTCCATTGGTTCCTCTAGCACGGTCTCTCGGAGCCTGGTTAGCGCTCCCCAGTCCGTCTCGGTGATTCCTGCGGACCATCAGACTCGGCTACGCGATTCAGTTCACCCAGCGTCCCCCCAAGTGTAGGTGCATCCGGTTCACTTCTGTCAAGGCTGTCGATGCCCCTGTCTTGCGTGCGGAAATCGCAGTCCTGCTGGCGAAGGACGCGAGCTACAGCCGGTCCCTCCAGCCGATATGAGGTTGGGGTTTTATAGCCCTTACTTCATTGTGCCCAAGAAAAGTGGTGGGTTACGACCGATCTTGGATCTGCGAGTTTTGAATAGTGCGCTTCACAAGCTGCCGTTCAAGATGTTGATGCAGAAACGCATTTTTGAGTGCATCTGTCCCCAGGATTGGTTTGCAGCGATCGACCTGAAGGACGCGTACTTTCATGTCTCGATCCTCCCGCGGCACAAGCCATTCCTGTGGTTTGTGTTCGAGGGTCGGGCACATCAGTACATGGTCCTGCCTTTCGGGCTGTCCCTGTCACCTCGTGTCTTCACCAAAGTTGTGGAGGAAGCCCTTGTTCCTTTGAGAGAACGGGGGGTGCGCATTCTCAACTATCTCGACGACTGGCTCATACTCGCACAGTCTCGCGATCAGTTGTGCGCACACAGGGACCTGGTGCTCAGACACCTCAGCTAGTTGGGTCTTCGGGTCAACTGGGAAAAGAGCAAACAGTCAGTCAGACAGCACGCCTCACCCAGGAACATGCTCAGTCAGTGCTGAACTGCCTCAAGTCTTTATCAGGCAGGACGGCGGTCCCACTGAAATTCTTTCAGAGGCTCCTGGGGCATATGGCTGAGTCCCTAGGTGGGCGTGGCGACGCGGCACTCACCGGGTTCAGATTACACAGAACCTTCAGTCCATGGTCAGATCCCTCGTTTCTTCGGGCAGGAGTGCCCCTGAAACAGCTATCCAGGCAAAAAATCCAGGCGGTTTATGCTCCCGTCGCATGTCGCAACTCGCCCACCACCTCCTCCTGTGGAGTCAGAAGCATCTGAGGTCCCTTCGTGCCATCCACATCTCGGGAGTGTTCAATCGGGCAGCCGACGAGCTGTCTCGAGCAGCACTTCCGGGAGAGTGGAGACTCCACCCCCAGGTGGTTCAGCTGATCTGGAGACGGTTCGGAGTTGCTCAGATAGACTTGTTTGCATCTCCAGAAACCCCCCACTGCCAGTGGTTCTACTCCCTAACCGAGGCAACAGTCGGCACGGACGCACTGGCACACAGCTGGCCCCGGGGCCTGAGCAAATATGTGTTCCCACATCCCAGATCAGGGAATGAGGTCTTGTTAGTGGCTCCATATTGGCCCAACAGGACCTGGTTCCCAGAATTCATGCTCCTCGCGACAGCCCCTCCCTGGCCGATTCCTCTGAGGAAGGAGCTTTCTCAGAGATGGGGTACCCTTTGGCAACCACGTCCAAACCTGTGGAAACTCCATGTGTGGTCCCTGGATGGGACGCAGAGGTTCTAAGTGACCTACCCCAGGAGGTAGCTCTCACTATCGCTTCAGCGCGTGCTCCGTCCACGAGACAGGCCTATGCGCTGAAGTGGAACCTGTTCATCGAATGGTGTTCCTCCCACCAGGAGGACCCCCAGAGATGTTCGGTCAGAGCCGTGCTTTCCTTCTTGCAGCATGGGTTGGAGCATAGGCTGTTCCCCTCCACCCTTAAGGTTTGCGTTGCTGCTATTTTGGCCCATCACGACCCCATAGAGGGGAGGTCCGAGGAGAAGCATGATCTGGTCGTCAGGTTTCTTAGGGGGGCCAGGAGGTTAAATCCTCCCTCCCTGCCCTCTTGGGATTTGGCATTAGTGTTAAGAGCCCTATAAGCTGCCCCCTTCGAGCCTTTGCAGTCAGTCAAGTTGAAGTTTCTTTCTATGAAGACCCTACTCCTGACTGCATTGCCATCGATCAAGAGGGTGAGGGACCTGCAGGCATTTTCGGTCGACGAATCGTGCCTTGAGTTTGGGCTGGCTGATTCCACTGCGACAGTACGTGGATAGAACTCAGAGCTTTAGGACCTCAGAACAGCTCTTTGTCTGTTACGGTGGACAGCAAAAGGTGAAGGCTGTCTCCAAGCAGAGGATGGCCCACTGGATAGTGGATGCAATCACCTTGGCCTATGAAGCACAAGGTGTGCCCTGCCCACTCAGGCTGCGTGCTCACTCCACTAGGGGTGTCGCATCGTCCTGGGCGCTGGCTCGTGGTGCCTCACTAGCAGACATTTGTAGAGCTGCGGGACTCCTAACACGTTGACAGCGCTAGGTTCTACAGCCTGCGTGTCGAAACCGGTTTCCTCCTGTGTTCTCACCTCAAATGGGTAGTGGCACTGTTCAGAGTCCGCTTGCG